GCAGTGGACATGGGTGTGCACATCTCTCTTCAAGATCCTGTTTTCAAATTCTTTTTGGACATATAAGTGGGGTTGCTGGATCATATCATAGTTCTATTTTTAAATTTTTGAGGAACTTCTATACTTTTTTCCATAGCAGCTGCATCACATTACATTCCTACTTACAGTGTATAAGAGTGCTACTTTGTCCACATCCTTGCCAATGTGTAATTTTCTGTTTGTTTGATAGTGGAAGGTGAGATCTCATTGAGGTTTTGACTTGCATTTCCCTGTGCATTTTCCTGTGTTGTGATGTTGAGTATCTTTTTGTATGCTTGTTGGCCATTGTATAACTTTTTTAGAGAAATGGTTATTCATATCCTTTGCTCATTTTTTTTTTTTTTTTTTTTGAGACAGAGTCTCGCTTGTTGCCCAGGCTATAGTGAGTGCCGTGGCGTCAGCTTAGCTCACAGCAACCTCAAACTCCTGGGCTCAAGTAATCCTTCTGCCTCAGCCTCCCGAGTAGCTGGGACTACAGGCATGTGCCACCATGCCCGGCTAATTTTTATATATATATATTAGTTGGCCAATTAATTTCTTTCTATTTTATAGTAGAGACGGGGTCTCGCTCGTGCTCAGGCTGGTTTTGAACTCCTGACCTCGAGCAATCCGCCCGCCTTGGCCTCCCAGAGTGCTAGGATTACAGGCGTGAGCCACCACGCCCAGCCTTTGCTCATTTTTAAATTGAGTTTTTTTCGTTGTTTTCTTGAGTTTTTAGTTCTTTATATATTGTAGCTGTTAGCCCCTTATCACATATATGGTTTGCAATTTTTTTTTCCAACTGTGTAGGTTGCTGTTCACTGTATTGATTGTTTCCTTTGCTCTGTAGAAGTTTTAAAATTTGATGCAGTCCCATTTGTCTGTTTTTGCTTTTGTTACCTGTGCTTTTGCTGTCATATTCAAGAAATTGTTGTCAAATCCATTGTCATGAATCTTTCTCCCTGTATTTTCTCCTGGGAATTTTATAGTTTCAGGCCTTATGTTTAGGTCTTTAATCCATTTTAAGTTAACTCTGGGGAACTTTATTATTTCGCATGTGGACATTCAGTTTTCCCAGCACCATTTGTTGAAGAAACTATCCTTGCCTCATTGTGTAGCATTGGCACCCTTATTGAAGAACATTTGACCATATATGTGATGGTTTATCTCTGGGCTCTCTGGTCTGTTCTGTTGGCCTATGTATGTCTGTGTTTTATGCCAGTACCATAGTGTTTGATTACTGTTACTTTGTAATATGCTTTGAATCAGGAAATTTGAGACCTTCAGCTTTGATTTTCTTTCTTAAGATTGTTTTGGCCATTTGTAGACCTTCAAAATGCCGTATGACGATTAGAATACTTTTTTGTATTTCTGCAAAAAATGCCATTGGGATTTTGATAGAGATTGCATTGAATCTGTAGATTACTTTGGGTAGTATGGACATTTTCCAACCCATGAACATGGATTGACTTTCTATTTATTTGTGTCATCTTTAATTTCTTTCAGCAATGAGTTTTAGTTTTCAGTGCACAAGTCTGTTGCCTCTGTGGTTAAGTTATTCTTAAGTATTTTATTCTTTTTGTTGCTATTGTAATAGGATTTTCTTAATTTCCTTTTTAGATTATTCATTGTTAGTGTATAAAAAGGCAGTTGATTTTTGTGTTCATCTTATATCCTGCATCTTTGCGGAATTCATTTATTAGTTCTGACTGGATTCATTTATTAGTTCTGTGTGTCTCTGTGTGTGTGGAATCTTTAGGGTTTTCTACATGTCATCTGTGAACAGAGATAATTTTATTTTTTCCTTTCAAATTTAGATGCATTTTTTTTTTCGGTACTATATTGAATAGAGGTGGTTAGAGTGAGCTCATTTGCCTTATTCCTGATCTCAGAGGGAAAACTTTCAGTGTTTTGAGTATGATGTTAGCTGTGGGCTTTTCATATATGGCCTTTATTATTTATGTTGAGGTAATTGCCTTCTATTCCTATTTTTTTAAAGTGTTTTTATCATGAAAAGTTGTTGAATTTTGTCAAATGCATTTCCTCCATCAGTTGAGATTATCATATGATTTTTGTCCTTTGTTCTGTTAATGTAATGTATTGTAGTGATTGCTTTTCGTATCAAACCAACCTTGCATTCCAAGAGTATATCCTACTTGGTTATGGTGTATAATCCTTTTAATATCTTGTTGAATTTGGTTTGCTAGCATTTTCTTGAGAATATTTGCATCACTATTCACTGGAGATATTATTAGTCTATAGTTTTCTTACAGTATCCTTGATTTTGATATCAAGGTAAGGCTGGTCTCATAAAATGAGGTTTGGAAGTGTTCTTTCCTCTTCAGTTTTTTGGAAAAGTTTTAGAAGAATTGGTGTTCATTCTTTATGTTTAATAGAATTAATTCTCCAGTGAAGCCATCTGATCCTGGACTTTTCTTTTTTGGGAGATTTTTGATTACTGATTCAGTCTCCTTACTAGTTATGTCTGTTCAGATTTGTTATTTTTCATGATTCAGTCTTTCATGATTCAGATTTGTTTCATACTGAAACAAATTTCAGTATGTTTCTTGAAATTTATCCATTTTTCTAGGTTGTCTAATTTGTTGATATATAATTATTCATACTAATCTCTTATGATCTTTTTTATTTCATGGCATGAATGGTAGTGTCTTTCTTTTCTGATTCTTTTTTCCCTTTTTTTTCTTAGTCTTGGCAAGGGTTTATCGATTTTTGTTCCTCTTTTCAAAGAAAAATCCAACTCTTAGTTTTGTCCATTTTTTTTTTCTATTGTATTTCATTTATTTCTACTGTAATCTTTATTATTTGTGTTTAGTTTGTTCTTCTTGTTCTAGTTCCTTGAGGTGTATAGTTAGGTTGTTGATTTGAATTTTGTTTGTTTTTTATGTAGGCCTTTACCACTATAAACTATCCTCTTAGCACTGCTTTTGCTACATCTGTAAGTTTTGGTATGTTCTGTTTTCATTTTCTAATTTCCCTGTGATTTCTTTGACCCATTGGTTGTTCAAGAGTGTTGTTTAATTTTCACATATTTGTGAATTTTCCAGTTTTCCTTTACTGTTGATTTCTAGTTTCATTCTATTGTGGCCAGAAAAAATACATGATATGATTTCAATCTTAGATTTTTGTTAAGACCTTTTTGGTGGCTTAACATGTGCCCTATCCTAGAGAATGTTCCATTTGTGCTCGAGAATGTGTATTATGCTCTGTTGGTTGGAGTATTCTGTATATGTCTGTTAGATCCAGTTGGTCTATAATGTTGTTCAGGTCCTCTGTTTTCATTCACCTTCTGTCTGGTTGATCATTATTGATTGTGTGGTATTGAAATCTCCTATTATTAATACTATTGTGTTACTGTCTATGCCTCTTCAATTCTGTCCACATTTGCTTCATGTAATTGGGCATGTTTGGTCCATGTTTCTTTGTGATTGTTACAGCTTTCTGGTGAACTAACTAATTTATCATTATGTAATGCCTTTCTTTGTCTCTTTTGGTAGTTTTTGACTTAAAGTCTAGTCTGATAGAAGTATGGACATCTCTGCTTTCTTTTGGTTGCCACTTATATAAAATATCTTTTTCCATATTTTTATTTTCAGCCTATGTATGTCCTCTTATGTCTAAAGTGAGACTCTTAAAGATAGCATATGGTTGGAGTTTTTTGGTTTTGTTTTGTTTTTCTCATCTACTTTAAGTCTTTTGATTGGGAAAGTCAATCCATTTACATTCAAAGTGATTACTGATAGGGAAAGACTTAGTATTGTCATTTTGTTATTTGTTTTTTGTATGTCTTGTAGTTGATTTGTTCCTCTTTTTCCTCTCTTGCTGCCTTCCTCTGTTTTTGATTGATTTTTTTGTCTACTGACATATTTTCATTTTTAAAAATAATTTTGTACAGCTTCTATAGGTATTTTTTATATAATTATCATGAGGATTACATAAAACATCATACAGTTCTAACAGTCTAAAAACTTATAACTTAATTTCAGTCATACTAAAACTATTTCCCCATACCAGCACTTTGTTATGAATGTCAAAATTATATTTTTAAAATATTTTGTAAGGATTAATAATAAGGTTTTATAGTTATTTTTTAAGTGTGTTTGTCTTTTAAGTTGTATACCAGAATTAAAAATGATCTGCACACCATTGCTATAGTGTTATAGGATTCTGTGTTTGTCTATATATTTACCTTTACCTAAGTTTTATATTTTTGTATACTTTCTTGTTGTCTGTCATCCTTTTGTTTCAACTTAAAGGACTCCCTTTAGCACTTCTTGTAAGGCAGGTTGAGTTGTGATGAACTCTCTCAGTTTTTATTTATCTGGGAAGCTCTTTGTCTTTCATTTTTGAAGGACATTTTGCCAGATAATATTGCTCTTGTTTGGCAGTTTTTTCTCTCAGCCCTTTGACTATATTATCCCATTCTTTTCTGACCTGTAATGTTTCTGCTGAGAAATCCATTAATCTTACAGGATCTCCTTTTACATTACTAGTTGTTTTTCTCTTGCTTTCAAGATTCACTTTGTTTTTGACATTTGACAGTTTAGTTTTTGTCTCAGTGTGGGTATCTTTGAGTTCATCACAGTTGGAGTTCTTCCAGCTTCTTGAATTTGAATGTCCATTTCCTTTATCAGATTTGGGAAGTTTTGGGCATTTATTTCTTTAAATAAGCTCTCTGCCTTTTTCTCTAACTTCCTTCTTAAACTCCTGTAATGTGTATGTTGATCCACTTGATTATGTCCCATAAGTCTTTTATACTTTCTTCAATTTTCTTTATCCTATTCTGTTTATGTTCCTCTGCTGCAGTTAATTTCAAATGACCAAATAATCTGTCTTTGAGTTTGCTGGTTCTCTGTTCTGCTTGATCACATCTGCTCTTGAACCTCTCTAATGAAGTTTCCAATTCACTTATTTTATTCTTCAGCTTTAGAAATGCTATTGGATCTCTTTTTTTTTTTTTTTTTGGATATGGTCTTATTTATTATTTAACTCAAAAAATCTTATTTTTGGCTCGACTCAGACTTAGAAGTAGATGCTCTCAGAGAGGACAGCCTACGTCTCTTGGCAATCTGTTCCTGGTGCTTTTCTTTGGCCTCCTTCATTCTCTTAGCCAAAAGTTTAGCATATTCTGCAGCCTCTTCCTTATTTTTCTTAGCGTGCTGCTTCTTCAGAGCAATACGCCGGCGTTTATGTTGCAGGACACGTGGAGTTACAAGTCGCTGAATCTTGGGTGCTTTGGTCCTAGGTTTCTTACCTTCTTTATTTAAGGGCTTCCTCACAACCTCCTGGCGAACATCATCTTCTTTAGACAGATTGAAGAGTTTGCGGATTCTGCTAGCTCTTTTGGGCCCCAGACGACGAGGTACTGTAGTATCAGTCAGTCCAGGGATATCCTTCTCCCCTTTTTTTACAATAACCAAGTTGAGAACACTCAGGTTGGCATCCACAATACAACCACGAACAGATTTGCACTTTCTTTCTCTAGTTCTCCTTGGTTTGTAACAGGAATGCCCCTTACTCAGTAGCAGGCGAACACAGCCATGGGTCAAGACACCCTGCTTCATGGGGAAACCTTGCTTGTCGTTCTCACCACTGATTCGGACCACATAACCCTTCCATTCTTCACCCAGAGCGTCGGCAGCAACTTCCGTGGCCATACGCTTCTCATAGAAAGTACGAAGTTTGTGTTCATCGTCCACTTCAATGAGTTTCTGGCAGCCAGTGGCTGGGAAGGAGATATTCAGCTTCATCGTGAAGCAGCTGATTGCCTCCGAGGCGCCACAAAAAGAGCTATTGGATCTCTTTAAAAATAATTTCTTTTTGTTTATTGTCATCTTACACATGCATTGTTTTCCTGATTTCATCTACTTGTCTATTGGTGTTCTCTTGTGGTGCCTTGGTCTTCTTTAAGACAATTATTTTGCATTCTTTGTTAGATAATTCATGCATTGCTGTTTCTTTAGGGTTATTTTATGGAGATTTATTTTCTTCCTTTATTGGACCATGTTTCCCTGCTTCTTTGTGTGTTTTCTTATTTTTGGCTATGATTTGTACACTTAAAATCAAGTACTTCTCCCAGTCTTTACAAACTGGTTTTGTAGGAGGGAACACCTTCACCAATCAGCCCGCTAGAGATTCTGAGGACCTCTCAAATTTTTTCTGTAGATGCATCTTCTTTGTACATGTGTGTGATTTCCTGATTAGAGAGATTTGCTTTCTTTTTCAGGTGCTTGTAATCTTACTTCCTTTGGTATCTGTTTTGTGGTACTGCAGGTTCTCTGTTGCTGCAACAAGCTACTGAGCTCTTTCATTCTCTGTAGCTCCCAGATATCCAAAGTATGTTGTGTGTGAGTCAGTACTCAAAGTCAGGCAAGGCAGAATCAGTCCCTTGGGCACTCCACCAGATGGTGGGAATGTTGGGTGCATGTTCCACTCATCCATTTCCTTCCAAAAGGAGAAGCCTGTTAACTGGACATTCTTTCCTCATCATACCAAGTTGTACCAGCTTTTGTCTGCAGTGCTTCAAAAAGCTGCTGAGCTCTCAAAAGTTCTTGGTGGACCCCAGGTATCCAAAGTGTATCAGTCCTTCAGGCAGACCCCCTAAACACAGAATGTATATTTGACATACATTCCACTCTTCTCCTGAAGGAGAAGCCACGAGTTGTGCTTTTGTTCCCAATTGTGCCAGTGTGTGCTGGCTTAGTGGAAAGACTACCATGATTGAAATGGCTTTTCTTACCCATTTCAATATGACTGAGCTTGCCTGGAATACTACAACTTCTGAACTTGTTTCTGGATTTCTTAAGGCTTTTTGGACTATATATTCTGAAGTCAGTGTGCATGTGAGGAGATGAGGTCTGAGGCTTACTATGCCTCCATCTTGCTCTCTGATGGGCTTCTTTGGTGTATATTTTATATTGTCTTTTATTGCCAGGTTTTCTTGGAATATAGTTTTAAATATTTGTTGTGTTGCATTGTTTTGTTTTCTTTAGGGATTCCAATTATATGAATGTCATTCCTTCCTTGCCTATTTTGCATTCTGCCTACCACCTTTTTTCCTACTCATTTTACTTCTCTTTTTATCTCATTTTCATTCAGCTGGTTATTTGACCCACTTAATGCAGCACACTTACTGGGATTTTTTTTTTAGTATTTTTTCATCACACTTCTAATAATTTTAGTCATCATCTTTGAGGTAATTTTTTCTTTTCCTTTTCCTTTTCTGAGTTTTCACATTTCTGAGTCTCCTCCCCCACCCCCGTGTTCTTATTTTTTGAGTTTATGATTCAAGGTGATATTTTTTATATCCTCAGATGCTGCCTTTGAGTATATTTAAGTTTGGAGCATTTTTCTTGAAGTTTTCTTCTCTCACTAGCCCCAGAATGAGGGGAGTTCATCAGCAGAGATATAGTTGAATCTTATCTTCTGCTTTTTAAATAATTGAATACATTTATTACATTTTCTTCTGTCTATTTTTGTAGATTTGGGGTGGTTCACAACTGTCCTAGTTCAGTGGCATCTGTCTGTGTAGAATGATTGGCTTTTGAGGAATAGACAAGAAAGGACTTTTCTCATTCTAGTTCTTTCTAACATTTTTAAATCTTGGTTTTCTGTGGGACAAATGTGCTCAGTTTTTACCCTTTCCACTTTTCCTTTTGATTTTAGTTTCCCAGAATTTTATTGCACTCTCCTTGTGCTGATGGCTCCTGATTTCTTTCTTGTCATTGTGAGTGTGTAAGTATTTTAGTCCTTTACTGTGAAGTTTAATAGGGAGGTGGTATTTGATATAGACATTCAGTCAGCTATCTTTAGTTGGAAGTTTTGCATGTGAGCTCTTTAAATACCAGAGAATGGTCTTTGTGTATGTAGCCTAACTCAACGGACAAATTCTGAAAGCATAAGTTTGGTAAAATGGAAACAAGCCAGACAAGTCAGGAATCAAATTTCAGCCTCGTTGATTTCTACCAGTGTGACCAGAGAACCTTAGTTTACTCATTTGCAAAAGAAAACACAAATTTTTCTTGGTACTCATTGTATATGACTAAAAGATGTAAACCTATTCATTTAGGTTTTTTCCCTTACTCTGCTTTAATGATTTACCATATAATTTCCTGTTTCACTAGCAAAAATATAAAGTAAAGAGAATGTATAATGTCTTTAATGAAAACATGCAAAAAATGTCTAGGTGTAATAACAGTAGGTTTTAAAAGGATATTTTGGAATGTCAAAGTAGCCGTAAGAAGTAATTTTGTTTTTCATAGGTCACTGCAACGTCAAAACTCTTGGGGTCAAGTGATCCTCCTGCTTCAGCCTCCCAAGCAGCTGGGACTACAGGTCACGCCACCACACTTGGCTAATTTTTCTGTTTTTTGTAGAGACAGGGTCTTGCTATGTTGCTTAGGCTGGTCTTAAACTGCTGGGCACAAGCAATCCCTCTACCTCAGCCTCCCAAATTGTTAAGATTACAGGTGTGAGCCACCATGCCTAGCCAAAAATGTATTATTTTTAAAACTTTTTTTTTGAGACAGAGTCTCACTGTGTTGCCAGGGTTAGAGTGCAGTGACATCATCACAGTTCACTTGCAATGTCAAATTCCTGGGCTCAAGGGATCCTCCCTTCTTGGCCTCCCAAAGTACTGGGATTACAGGTGTGAGCCACCACATCCAGCCTTTATAACATTTTAAAAATTTACAATGATAATACAGATTTACTACAGAAAATTCAGAAGATAAAAAAGGGCACACAGAAGGCAAATAATAATCACCTATATAGTTAGCATTTTATGGTATATTCTATTCTTCCAGGCTCTTTTCTCTACATACATATGTATTTATATTCATGTTATTTTATTTTATACTTAATATCTAAACATGTTTTTCAGGTAAGTAGAGCTCTTCATGATGTATTTTTACTGTTATTGAAGAGTTCAATATTATGTGTATAGCATAATTTATATAAGTAATCCTCTATTTTATTGACAGTTTAGGCTCTCTTTTTTTTTGGTGGGGTGGAGTCTTATAAACAATACCATGATGAACATTTTTATGTCATCATTGTTGCCCATTTGTTTTCTTTGGGTGGGAATACCATAAGTAGAGTGTGTGGATCAAAGGGATACATTTTTAAAGGAAAGAAAATCAATTACTGAATGATTTTTAGTTATTTTTAACAACCAAGTGACTCACCAAAGTATAATGCAGCATGTAACAAGGAATTTACATTACCCTTGCCTAACCCTCTCCCTAGAAAAGAGGGGTACCTACCTCTGGTACCTACCTCTAGGATTCTGTATGTTTCCAACTGGTTATCATTATTATATGAATCACAGTCCTCAAGAAACCCTATCATTGTGTTTTCTTCTTCCTATTTGGGGGATTGAAAGACTGTCTCATAATCTGGTGAAGAGGAAATGATAGGTGAAATTTATTTTAGAGCTAAATTTGGTCAGTAAGTTATAATGGGGGAGGATATCATGGTCTGGCTCTTTAATCTCTGGCTGTAGGTTTGTCATTGGCCTGCTTTGTTAATGAGAGGAGAGTCATCTATGATCTGTTTTTAAATTTTCTCATTTATAAAATTAATATTAAACCCTCATCTATTAAAGATATAATTTAGATATATAGACAGTACCTAAAAATGTTTCATACTTGGGGGAAAGTAAAATACATATCAAAAGAATCTCTTCAAATAAAAAATATGCTGCCAGTTAGCTCAGTTTCTTCTTGTTATTCATGTCTATAGATCAGCATTACAAGAATCTTTACTTTTACAAACACTCTTCTCTTGTAAGGGTGGAATCATCAAAGAACCCGGGAATCAGAGTCCTTAAATTGGATTCTCATTTAATTATACACTAACTAAAAGCAAATCACTTGTTTCTTGAGTCTCATTTACAAAACGGGATAAATATCTACCCGTGTGTCCTAAGATTGTGATGCGCTAATAAACACGTGGTTGTTGATGTACTCAGAGAACTGTAAAACATCACATAACTGCAAGGTGACATTGTGTATTTTGTCACTTTCTGGGACCAGCAAGGTGAGATATTAGCCAGGTAATAGGAAAGTATGGGCTTAAATAATTACTCATTCAGTGGCTGGTTTCCTAGTTTCTTAATGTTGTTTATGTGCTGTATATGTGTGATCCTTACAATTTCTTAGCTCAAAAGTTTTTACTACCAATAGATTCTAACTAAATTTATAGTAATAGTTGTGTGGGAAAACTGGTGTTCCAATTTGGAAGCCTACCCTATAACAAAAAACATAGTTCTGCCTGGCACTGAAAGGGAGAAAATGCAAATCTAAGAAGCTTTTTCCTCAACTATTAATATTTGCCCTTTCTTGAGAATTTCTGGGTCTTTGTCCATTTTGGACATCTGTTTTCTCTGGGATTATTGTTTCTTTTTCTCTTTTGCCTTCCTAAATCCCTATTGATCCGAAAAGTGTCAGTTGACATTTTACTTTCCTTGGGCATCTTTCCCTCTTCTCCCAAAAAGAGTGGTTTGACTAATTGAGAAGAGACATGCTTGTTTGTCAAGTTCAACCATGATTGCATACTTTCGTAACTCTCTTCCACTAGGTAAGTTCCTTAACGGCAGAGACTGTCTCTCATTCACTGTTACAGTTCTCAGTGACCGGATAATATCTAGTGTCTAATAGATGCTCCAAAATGTGTTGAAAGGATGACTACTGATAAATAATTTTTAATTTATGCATTGGGGCATATTCAGCCATTCTTTGTTCTACTGTAGTGCACTTCTGTATGTTGAGAGGCCAAATATTTATTTCTTTTGAAGGTTTATACATGTCCACTTAGAAAGCCTCCATGGTGCTTAAGGGCCTGAACTATTTGTTGAGCTAAATTGATCACTATAAAAGTAGAATGAAATTGACAATGGAAATTGAGGGCAGTGGAGAGATGATGGAGTATATCAGCCATATATTAAACCTGGGTAAAGAAAGAGGGCATTTGTTACATTAAAAAAATTGGAAAAGGTTGAGAATCTGGAGGTTTTCATGAGGTTGACAGACATAGTAAGTGGGAAGATGAGTATAAAATCAGAAATAGAAAGAAGTTGTATTCAAAAAAGGACCAATAATTTAAGAGATAAAAGCATGAAAAAGTATGCCATTATATGGCAATAGCAAGAAGTTTGTTGTAATTCAAGAGAAGGATGCTTGGGAGAGGTACGGTGCTTAAATGATAGGTTGGACTAGT